TTAAAATAAAAAAAGGAACTGAGTATTCATGGGCAGAATGGGGATATTTCCAAATCTCCTTTAGATGACTAGAGTTGACACAAAAACAACTTTGAGCAAGGTGACAGGCGAACATGCCTGTCAGCAAGCTGTGCCCCCACCTGGGGACTGACTCCCTCAGTGTAACTAAGAACACAAAGTAATCCTTTAAAGTTTTCCACCTCTGTGGTCCTCTCTGTATTAAACAATTTTTCTCTCATCTCTCTTTTTGTCAGCTCTAACTGCCACAGATTTGCTCTGTGCTACAAGACACAAGAAGAAATAGAAGGTATGTATCCAGAGGTTCGTAGTTAAGGGGACGTTTGCGGCTGAAGACACTTTGTTCATGATGCTCCTTTGCCTAAGTCTGGTCCTGCAGGCAAGGTAGTATTTTTGGTACATTTTCAAAGCTTAATTTTGTGACCATAACTAAGAGGTTCTGACAGAGAGGGCTTTAGAGGACACTGAAGGGACACAAGCTTGCTGTGTATCTATCACAGTCAGGAGGAAATAGTGGGCTGCGAGTCGGCCAGCCAGGGTTTCGGATCCTGAGTCTGCTGCACTCTGGTTGTAGAACCCTGAGTAAGACATTTAATCTCTTAGCTTCCTTTATCTCATGTGTGAAATGGAGAAAGTAGTAGCATCTAGCTCATGGAATTGTTAAGATTAAGTAAGAAAACATGACCAAAATTAAGCACTCAATAAACTTTGTAATTATAGTTATTAAGACTCTGACTTTGATACATCCAATGTGGATTATTTCCAGATGAATTCATGCTCTAAGTAAGTGTTCTCCAAACTTCAGAGAGAAACACATTAGTGAGTTATGAAATCCATTCAGTGGGTAGTAGTCAACACTGAAAAGAATTAATGGGATAGAATAACAATATTTTTTCTAAAGAAACAGAAGACATTGCACATAAAAAGCTAATGGAAAATTGCTTACTGTGGTTTGAGGTTAAATGAGTTTGAAAAACAATGCTTCTAGGCCAAACAAATGTGCAAACTAAAACCCTTCCCCAGTTTTCCTCTCAATTCTACTCAACTCTGACTCTTTTAAGAAAAGTGAGCAAAAGATAAAGGGCTTTGGAAGCATGCTGTAGTGATCTTTTTGATAATGTGTGAGCATGCTGGGGTGACGTGAGAAGTCGGGAGGCAGTGGTTAGAGAGCCAGTTCATTCAGACATGTGCTGGTGCTATTTCCCAAGCATATGGGCCAGGGGATAGGGATTTTTAGAACTAGCCAGGCCTCTGGGTTTGGTTTTTGTTTTTGTTTTTTTTTTTAAACTTTTCCTCTTAATTCAAGTACAGAGACTGTGACAGAAGGCTTTGCAGGTTCCTTTAATTCTGTACACCTGGTTAATTAAAACCCCTGCTTTAAGTAGGTAATGTTTGAGGAGTAAGTCTCACAATGTTTAATCTTACTCTGTGAGTGAAGAAAATTGTTGTGGATTTTTATTTTTCTAAAATGTACAGTACATCAATATTTATGGATTTTTAAATGCCATTTCTACTGTTTCTCTACAAATATTTTTTTGCTTCATACAAGTTATAGTAGCTGAGCACAATATAAGTAAAAAATAACAACAATTAAATATATGCATAGCCCACAAACGCAGACAGCAATGTGGTGAACGAAGGGGGTTGATAGGGGCAAAGGGTGAGGAAATTTGGTATGTCTGTCAATACATCATAGTGTCAACAATAAAAAATTTTTGAAGATTTAAAAAATATGGAAGAAAACCAGGCTTAGAACTAGAATTAGTTTGCCGGAACTGGCATTTTAGGGAACGTATGCCCAAGGAACAGAGTTATCAATAACCTGTAAAATTGGCATTTCTTTTTTCTGGATACTATTTAGTGTGGAGAAATCACATATAAACAACCACGATAATGTAACTATATATATTTGGTTTAAATTATTTTACTTGCTATTTCCTTCTGTAATGTTATGAGCCTATCAACATAATTCCAACAGAATTAGCCACCTAATATTAATCAAAGAGGAAAGTTATTTAGAAAATATGACTCAACATATATCATGCTACAATTTTCCTATTTGTAATATGTTTCAGTTGAAATATGTCTATAGAGGTAATTATAAAAATTGTAGAATTCCACAGAGAACTCTGTTGAATCATAACCATATGCTCTCAGTGTATGTTTATTACCTAATACACAACAAATCACAATTTTAATCACATTAGTATCTATGAAGAAAAATAGAAGAAAAATGAAAAGATATGTATTTGTATATAGTTAATTAGATTGATATACAGGTACAGATATAGATATATACATAGCTGTATCTCTCAAATATTTTTCATAAATACAAAGATTTGGTTTGCAATAAAATAATTAAACATCTATTACTCCCTCATAGGAATGGTGTTTGCAGGTTTGGTGGTTACGATGGGGGCCTTGGTGCCTGGGGATGTTTTGAAGTTTGGACGGCTGCATGAACTAACCCTGAAGATGGATAATGGTGAGGACTTGAATTAGTACATGATCGCTCTGTTAGGTTCTTTCTTTAAGATTCACATACAACTCCCTATCAACCACCTGATTACTTTAAGACTCTGGACAAATTATTTAAATTCATAAACCTCAGTTTTCTTCTATCTGAAACTGAACAAATGATAACTTTAGAAAATGTGTTTTTCATCCCATCATTAAGCTAGATCAGCAGACATATTAAAGACCAAGGGGAAAAAAACTAAATCCAAGACTCAATATGTTTAACATAGATAGAGTAGATTTTTAAATTGACAATCTCCTGATGAATCCAACCTGGATATACACATACTTGTACAGACCCCTGTCACAGTGACTCTGAGCTTGGCCATGTGACTTGCCTCTCCAATGAGACATAAACTAATGTGACAGAACACACTATCTTTTTTTAAGTATATTTTATTGATTATGCTATTACAGTTGTCCCATATTTTTTCTCCCCTTTATTCCCCTCCACCCTGCACTCCTTCTCCCACCTGCATTCTCCCCTTAGTTCATGTTCATGGGCCATACACATTTAAGTTCTTTGACTTCTTCATTCCCTATAGATATCTTAACCTCTCTCTATTTTGTACCTAACATTTGTGCTTGTTATGCCCTGTACCTTCACCTATTCTTCTCCCTCTCCCTCCATGATGATAACCCTCCCTGTGTTCTCCATTTCTGAGATTCTGTTCCTGTTCTAGCTGTTTGCTTAGTTTGTTTTGTTTTTGTTTCTGTTTAGATTTAGTTATTGATAGTTGTGAGTTTGTTGTTATTTTACTGTTCATAGTTTTGATCTTCCTCTTTTTCTTAGATAAGTCCCATTAACACTGCATATAATAAAGGCTTGATGATGATGAACTCCTTTAACTTTACCTTACCTGGGAAGCACTTCATCTGCCCTTCCATTCTAAATGAAAGCTTTGCTGGATAGAGCAATCTGGGATATAGGTACTTCTCTTTCATGACTTGGAATACTTCTTTCCAGCCCCTTCTTCCCTGCAAGGTTTGAGAAATCAGCTGATAGTATTATGGGCACTCCTTTGTAGGTAACTGCCTCCTTTTCTCTTGCTGCTTTTAAGATTCTCTCCTTATCTTTAATCTCAAGTAATGTAATTATGATATGTCTTGGTGTGTTCCTCCTTGGGTCCAACTTTATGGAACTCTCTGAGCTTCCTGGACTTCCTGTAAGTCTATTTCTTTTGCCAGATTGGGGAAGTTCTCCTTCATTATTTGTTCAAATAAGTTTTTAATTTATTGCTCTTGCTCTTCTCCTTCTGGCACCCCTATGATTCAGATGTTAAAACATTTCAAGTTGTTCCCAGAGGTTCTTAAGCCTCTTCTCATTTTTTTTTTAATTCTTGTTTCTTCTTTCTGTTCTGGTTGAATGTTTACTTCTTCCTGCTGGTCCAAATTATTGATTTGAGTTCTGGTTTCCTTCCCTTTACTGTTGGTTCCCTGTATATTTTTTTTCTTTATTTCACTTTGCATAGCCTTCACTTTTTCCTCTACTTTGTGACCATACTCAACCATTTCTGTAAGCATCCTGATTACCAGTGTTTTAAACTCTGCACCTGGTAGGTTGGCTATCTCATCATTTAGTTCTTTTTCTGTAGTTTTGATCTGTTCCCTTATTTGGGCCATATTTCTTTGTCTTGGTGCACCTGTTACATTGTAAGGGGAGGAACCTTAGGTATTCACCAGGCTGGGGCAACTCATGTCTCTGCGTTGTGGCACCGTATGTTGGGGTGGGGTCTGAGAGGGAACAATGCTGCTTGCTCAGCTATAGGCCAGCTTTCAGTCACGTTCCCTGCTACCCACAAGCATTTGGGCCCCTCTGGTACTGATTCTTGGGTGACAGAACAAACTCTTGATAAATACTTGCCCATTAGGATTCAGCCACTGGAAATGCAGCCTTTACCATGTAAGATCCCAGTGTACTGGGTGTACTGCTGAAGAGGTTGGTTATAGGGGGAAGAACCATGCATTCTAGCCAACAGTGGTTGCTGAACACTATCTTGTACTGTCCATCCTCAGCTGAGCCACCAGATGACTGTAGCTACATGAGTGACCCTAGGTAAAACAGATCACCAGAAGAACTACCCAACTGAGCCAAACCCAGTGTGCAGAACTGTGAGCAAATAAATGATTGTTTCAAGTCCCTATGTTTTGGGTTGGTTGGTTACTTACAATAGATAACTGATACATTCAGTTATCTGGTAGGAAAAACCTTTTATACTGCTGATACTGAAATCAATAAATAACAATTTGGAATGACAGATCATATAAGATAAAAACATGTACAATTCACAGAAAAATGAGTAAAATACCAAATGCAAAAAACATAATAGAACATAATTTTAAAATGGAATAGTAAACAAAATTATCTTTTTTAACACATTTTCTGCATTGGATTACTGTGTGCTGTACAAACAAAAACAAGAATATATGTATTATATGTAACTTACTGAATATGTATGACTTACTGAAACATGAACTTCTATCAAGCATATGCTGGAAAATCTTGCACACAGGTTCTTCGCTTTGTGTAATGGATCTACAGGTGCACTGCACTTGAAGGACTGTCCCAAGGGTACCAATATAAGCTGCTTTGCAGTCATCACTTCCTGAGCAAGTGAGGTCCTCCTTGCCCAACATACTGATGCAAGTCTCATCTTCATGGCACTTTGCAGTCACATGCTGCCAGCATTTGGACTGAAATGTTCTATAGTGCCTCCTAGAAGGAGTCAAGAAATAGAATTAGTCTCTGAATAATACTATTTCATATTGATATGAGGTGCTTCCTCACCTAATGAAAGGCTGACATGAAACAAAATGCCTCCTAGACGCCAGTACATAGCTGAAACCTAAGTTCATACACTTAAACATCTCAATAGAGTGTGGAACACAAAGCAGAGAAACCCTGTGAATTACATTCTTCTTGTGATGAAAGGCAGAGGCTAAGTTTATGATTCCCTGGATGAATTTTCCTTCATTACTAATTTTGTTTCGATGGTTGATGATTTGCAGTTTGAACTACTTGGAAGATTTATTAGCAGTATTTTTTGAAGCAGAATGTAGTTTTGGTTGACTAGCAGTTGGCCATTGCTTCACACCAAGTGATTTTAGATAAGGCTCTTGACCTTTTGAGTCAGTTTTCCCACAGGATGGAAGGTACTATATTTTTTCTTAACATTTCTAAGCAGACCAGTTAGAATTTTAAAAATGCTTTGAGATTCTTTGGCAGCAAGAGCTAATAAAGCAAAAATTTATGAGTTTATTTAATTGCCAAAATAATCCATTAGAATCACATCCATTCATAACTTTTCTGACCATGTATTTGATTAGTGCTGTACTAGCTTTGAATAATTCTCAATAATGTACAATAATTTCATTCTTGAAACTTTCACAGTAACAGGATATTCCTCTCTGTGGAACCAAGGATATTAATCTTCCTACTTAATATTTATCACCTAAAATTACTTTTCACCCTTTCTAGAACAGGTTTTCATGAAACCTGCATTGAAACCCTCTGTACACGTGACACTTGCCATGAGCCTCTTTGTGCACATGGCTCTACTCTGCTTAACTCCACACACTACATTATTTTTTAATGATCTCATATTTTAAATCCTCTTAAAGTAATCAGCTTTTTAATACATTGGCAAATTAATTTATACTTAAGGAAATACAAATTTTTTCAGCTTATAATTCTGGAGCCAGAAGAACAAATAGGTTCCTTTAATGCAATTATGGGTTATACGTAAAATGTTATATAAGTTTAAGCAATAACAGCACTGATGGTCATTTATGAGTTGTGTGAGAATAAATTTGTGCCTAGGTGCCATTTTTTTAAAAACATGTGTTTTACTAAGTTTAAGTTTCATGAAGCCCTGAAGCTGCATGAAGCCCTAAAGCAGCAAGTGTTTCAATATGCCAAGGTTGTGGGTTCGATTGCCAGTTAGGGCACATGAATAGGTGGAGCAACCAATTGATCTTTCTCTTACTCTCTCTCTCTCACTCTACAATCAATTTTTTAAAAAAGCTTTGAGTCATTTATCTATCACGGCAGTTATTTACTCAGAAAACTAGCTATAAAAATTTGCAAAAATAATAAATTGATATTTAATTAAATATTAAAAATCACATAAATACTTTGGTATGCTAGTACCTAAATCATTTGAAAGAAATTTTTAAATATGACAAAAAATTATACTATAGAAATTTTGTTTTGGGTTTGAAATGTTTAGGTGTATGATGATTCATATTCTTATCTTCTTGGTATTGCACAATTTTCTATTTTGGTTTATTGTCCAAAAAATTAAGTGATTAAAAGTAATGTCTTAGATGTAGTTGATTGTTTTGTCTTTATTTTTGCTATTGACTTGCAGTTACATTCCAAAATGTGAGAATGTGGTGTGTATAAATTCTACACACAGAATGTACTATATTTGCCTTTGTGATCTTATAGCCAAATTTTATAAATGTTTAATGACACTTTGACACTTAAAATAAATGTGTATATTATAATACTTTGATTTAAAAAAATAATTAGGTTTTTTCTAAGCAAATGTTTTTTCACTACTTTTGTGAGTTCATAAATATAAAAGTATATTATAATTTTAATATGTTCCTAAACAACTATAATTGGCAAAACATAATCTCACCTCCCAATGTATATTTGTATTGGACACAATTAATTGAAAAATTGTCTTTATATTGCCCTTTTTGGTCTTTTCAAATAAATGAAGGAGTTTCAAAACTTATTATATATTAAAGAATCTGGGACAGGGATAGAAGTTGTATTTTCAAAACCAAGTACTCTCTTTGGCCCCAAAAGGAAGTGATAAAGAGCTTAACAATCTCACTGAAGAAATGGGTGTTTTTTTTTTTTGAAGTTTTTTTCCTCTACCTGAATCACATTAACGATAACTTAATATATGAGGGGGCACCCCCAAAACTAGAACTATCCTCTGGATGGTGGGACTCTTGTAGTACAGGCTTCCCCAACAAGGTGAGTGTTTTAGGAACCCATCTGTATCAATGTACCAGCTGGCATTGTTGTGAGAGGCTGTGTTCAACTTCAGTGAATTTTTGGGGGAAGACTCTTTCAACATCTTTGCCCATTTCATAATGAAAAAAAGGTGACTGGTTCTTCCACTATGACAATACACCTGCCCATACTGAGCTGAGTGTTCAGCAGTTTTTGACCAAAATGGCATGATCCCTGTGGACCACCCTCCCTATTCACCTGATGTGGCCCTGAGAGCCTTTGTTTGTTTGTTTGTTTCCCAAATGAAAAAAATGCCTTAAAGGAAACATTTTGCCAATGTGGAAGAGGTGAAACAAAATACAGAAGAAGCAAAAGTCATCAAAATTAACCAGTTCAAAACCTGTTTTTAGCAGTAGAAATGTTGCCCTAAGGACTTCCAGTCAAGATGGTGGTATAGGCAGACATGGCTCACTTCTTCCCACAATCACATCAAATTACAACTAAAATATAGAACAATCACCACTCAGAACCATTAGAAATCCAGTTGAATGGAAGTCTGACAACTACAGAATTAAAGAAACCATATCCATCCAGACTGGTAGGAGGGCTGCAGACATAGAACAGGCTGGTCTCTAACCCATGTGTGGTTGATAAAAATTCAGGAGGGATATCTCAGGAACAAGCAGGCCTATCCCTACAAACAGGAGCCCCAGGCCAGGGTTCCAGTGGCAGGAAGATAAGCCCCCACAACTTCTGGCTGCAAAAACCACTGGGGATTAAGTCAGTGGAAGAAACTTCTGGAGCCCCAAGAAGTTCCTCTTAAAGAACCTACATACAGACTCACCTACTCAGACTCACTCCCTCTGAGCTCCAGAGCTGGCATGGCATGAGTGGCATACTGGGAGAGTCTGATGTGTGTGACTTCTTGGCGACCAGAGGCCGTTATTCCTTTTCTGAGCCCTCACCTCACAGAAACACAGAGTGGGCAGGCTGGTGCTATATCTGAGACTCCATCAACCTGGCTAACACTGTTTGACCCACCTTGGAGATTGTCAGAGGCTCTGCCCCACTCACCTAAGCTGCTTTTCCATATGAATGACCTTGCCTCATGCTTCAAAACTTCCTAAATCCTATCAAACAAGCAACAGCTGGCCTCAGTGAGCTCCAGGCTGGGCACTAGTAACAGCCAGATTAGTTCCACAACTTGACTTCACCTGGGGATCTCTAAGCCCAGCATGAGTAGCAGCCTTCTCAGATTGCTTTATAGCTTAGGAAGGGTGGCCTGGGAAAAACACAGATGGGAGCTAAACTTGGCCTGCATCACCTGGGAAATTCCAGGGCCAGTGCATCCAGTGAACAGCTACAGACCACTATGGAGCACTGCCTCCCTGCCCCTGCACCTGCACAGCTGCTCCACAGAAGGCGGAGGCTGGTGGTAAGTGGTCACAGCCAGTCCTTGCAGCTGACTGGCCTAGTTAATCCCTCCCACTGACTTACCAACAGCAACAAAAGCTCATCTACATGACGTGGAGTCAAAGCAGCACTACCTAGTACATAGAAACAAACACAGGGAGGCTGCCAAAATGAAGAGACAATGAAACATGGCCTCCAAAAAAGAACAGATCAAAACTCCATTAAAAGAGCTAAACAAAATGGAGATAGGTGATCTATCAGATGCAGAGTTCAAAACACTAGTTATAAGGATGCTCAAGGAAATTAGTGAAGACCTTAGCAGGATAAAAAAGATTCAGTAAGAAATGAAGGATTCATGAATTGAAATAAAGAATAATTTACAGGGAAACAAAAATAGAGTTGGATGAAGCCAAGAATCAAAAGGAAGATTAAAAACAATCCATCAGAATAACAAGAAGAAATAAGAATAAAAAAAATGAGCACAGTATAAGCAGCCTCTGGGACAGAGTTTCTTAGAGGTTTCAACAGGTCCAACAGGTCCAACAGGTCCTTGAAGTTTCAAGAGGTCCAACATTCACGTCATAGGGGTGTCAGAAGAAGAAGAGAAATAGCTAGGAATTGGAAATCTATTTGGAAAAATAGTGAAAGAAGATTTACCTGATTTAGTGAAGGAAATAGACATATAATTCCAGAAAGCACAGAGTCTCAAACAAGAGAGACCCAAAGAGGACCACACCAAGACACATCAAAATTAAAATGCCAAGGGTTAAAGATAAAGAGTAAATCTTAAAAGCAGCAAGAGAAAAGCAGAGAGTTACCTATAAAGGAGTTCCCATGAGACCATTAGCTGATTTCTCATAAGAAACTTTGCAGGCTAGAATGGACTGGTGAGAAGCATTCAATGTGATGAAAAGTAAGGGCCTACAACCAAGATTACTTTATCTAGCAAAGGAATCATATAGAATGGAAGGGCAGATAGAGTACTTCCCAGACAAAGTAAAGCTAAAGGCCATTAGTATACCACCAAGCCATTATTACATGAAATGTTAAAGAGAGTTATTTAAGAAAAAGAAGATCAAAACTATTAACATTAAAATGGCAACCAACTAATAACTACCAACAACTGAATCTAAAAAATAAAAATAAAAACAAACTAAGCAAACAACCAGAATAGGAACAGAATCATAGGTATAGGGATCATTTGGAGGGTTATCAGCTGGGAGGAGGAAGGGGGAGAATGGGGGAAATGGTGCAGGGATCAAGAAGCATATTTGGTAGGAATAAAATAGACAGGGGGAGGTTAAGAATAGTATATGAAAGGGGGAAGCCTA